CACTGTCCTATCGTCTGAACTTTGCAATAATTACTGTACATTGATATCTACCATTAAATGTCTCTAGTTTCTTTATATTCTCCCTACCAATAAGATCTTAATATTTACAATAGAAACGCAGAAATTCTTTTAAATCTCAATCATCTGCAGGGTATCAAAGTTTCTTCACTTGGTTGTTTCATTTGGCATAGTCTTTGCTGTTCGCACATATGTACATATCTCGTAGCTCAAAAAGAGAGAACCACTTTTAGAATATTCACGAATTTATAATTTCTATTAGTGCAAAAAGTTTTGCCCACAGATCGTAAAAATGCAGCACGAAAAAGCTGACATTTGCTGACTGCACTTAGTCTAATTTAACCACTAAACAAACATACACACGCACACACACACACAACTACAAATACTGTCAGTCATTTGGCAACCCTGGCCAACCATTGTCACAACATTTCTGCAGAGTCCTTTCCCTCCTGCTCTCTGTATCTCGCTGTCCATTGGCAGCAATTTAAAGTCAGGCCGGAAAAACCAAAATTACCACAAAATGTTTACATTTATATGAAATTTCATTTGATTTTCACCCAAAACGAAGCGCACAGAAATCGTGTGGTGGTGGGTGGTGGGTGGTGGGCTGTGGGTTATGTGAAATCATTGGCCGATTATTTTACAGGAAATTAAAAACCACAAATCTAAAATGTTTGAAATATCCGGTGGAACAATTAATTCATTAATGAACAACACAGAAAATCGGGCCGGCGAAAAAAAAAGGAAGAGAGAAAATTTTGCACACGACGGCAGTGGAAATCGGAAGTGAAATCAGGCCCTGTGAAAATGTATAAAATATATCTGCTGGTTTATAAAATGCATCATCCGATAAGCGTGTGCATGGGGGTGGGGTGGGGATGGAACGAACGGTGAACGGTAACGGTGAATATATAGTATATGCATATGTAGATTCCCTGATTCGATCCGGTGTCCCGTGTGCATTATTAATTTAAATATTGTTGCATATGTAAAACCCATCTGACTGCATATTGATGCACTTTTAAATGCAATTCCCCCCGAGCTGCCACCCACTGCCCGTTTTCCATTCTGACATTTGATTAAGCAAAAAGGTAATGCAATTTGGCACTTCAGACGGCTATGCTTTATTTTTGTTGTATAATTATTTAATGACTATACAGTTTCAGTGGGGTACTTTGAATTTTAATTCAAGATTAAACTCTTGAAAGAGAATTCTGTACTTTAATGGATTTTTTATGTGCTTTTTGGCATGTAAATTTCTAACTCCAAACTTAAATTTTATAATTATTTATATTATTTTATAACGTTTATTCATTGATTAATGCTAATATTCTATGAAAATATTCAATTTTATGTTTTCTACGTGCAATTCTACATTTTACATGACATTTAACTTTAATTGCTTACATTGCTGTTCTGCACCTAGACTTTGACCCTTCTCTTTTCTCTTCCACCAAAGACTGTACCATACCAAGATGCTGACGCTTCACGGTACGGTCGCGCGAGGCTATTTCGTCAATTCGCTTTTATGCTCTGAATTGCTACTGGCTCAAGTCAATGCTAAAGTCTTTGGCGCGGCACAGTGGGGAATCAGCCGAAATGGAGTTTCACAGGTCAAAAAATTTTATGAGCGCTTTGGATAAAATTTAGCAAGCTGAAATGGCCGAAAGCCCCACTGTGCTGCGCTCTTTTTAAGCTCTCTCTGCTCGTCGCTGACGAACAGAGCATAGCCGTGCGCTCGCTCTGTCTATGGGGCGTAGTGATAAGACCCGCCAAAGAACCGGTTTTTAGGTCGCTCATGCAGCCATCTTGTTATTGCTCAGTATTTGCTTCCGCTCAACACCCTTTCCATCACACACCCACGTTCGCTGAGGAACATCGTAAAGGAAGAGGAGAAGAAGGAGAGCATGGAATGTGCTAGAACTAAGTCGGCTGCGCTGCGCCATGATGAAATTAACAATGAATGCTTATAACTGTAACCCCTTCACAAACCACTCATTCTCTCACGCACCTGGACTTTGACCCTGCTTACATATATATATACATATGTACATATCTACCACTCAACACCCTTTCCAAAAACACCCACGATTGCTATTCATTTTTGCAGGGTGTAGTAGATCAGCCGAAATATTCGATCTCATTTTGGCATTGGGACATGGTGAAGGACAATGAGAAGAAGAAGAGCATCGAATGTTCTAGAACAAAGTCTGCTGCGCTGCGCCATGCTGAAATTATACAATGCATGCTTGTAACTGTAACTTTCTTACCAACCACTCCATCTCGCTCGCACACACAACTACACTCATTTGATCTCCTATTGCAAAAGGAGAGAGAGAGCACAATTTCCAATGGGCAAAGAGAGCAATTGGGAAGCTGAGCAGGAGAGCATGGAGTGTTCGAGAACAAAGCCTAAGCTGCCCACGCATCTGAGCCGCGCTCTCAGTCCACTTTTTTCAATCGGGCAATGCGGGTGCGTCGTTAGTCGGCTCCGCGTTTAAATTCGCAAAATAGTGAAAGTGAATAGTGAAGTGAAGTGTAGTGAAGTGAAGTGCAGTGTAGTGAAGTGTAGTGCAGTGAAGTGTAGTGCAGTGATTAAAAGTGAGGCGGCGGCGGCGACGAAGAAAGCAGCAAAATGGCGAAAATTGGCAACTCGGCGGCGGCGAAGAAAGCAGAAAAATGGCGAAAAATGGCAATTCGGCGAGGGAGAATGCGGCAATGCTTGAAAGTTTATTCAAAATCTGATATCTACATAGATAGTGCATTAAATCACTTTTTTTTCATGTGTAAAAATCATCATCCCATCAGTGTGTGTGTGTGTGCAAATGCGCTTTATTTGTCCCCTTGTCCACTACATCCTAAAATAGCGCAGTGAAGCAGAGAGTGAAAAAGGAACATGCGTTCCAAGTGAAGTGAAGTGATGGGGTGAGGCATTCAAAATTTTGTGATCTGACTCTCTCTCATCTTGTGTGCTCACACGAACTTACGACCCCGAATGCCTCACCTTAAATAAATATGCCCAAAATGTGTGCTCCTATTGGAAATTTCGTGCGTTTCGTTTGCGGTTTTCGGTTTCTGTGCGGTTTCGGTTCGGTTTCCGTCGTCTAAGTCGGCGTGCGGTGTCTTTCTTTAAATCGTCAGAACTTTATGTGCGAAAGGAGATGCAAGCAAGGGAAAAGTAACTGGAAAATATTATCGGTAAGAGGGAGAATTGTGTGTTTCTGTTTTTCTTTACTGTTTATACTCTTTTTTGTATGATTCTATAAGCATTCCTAATTGCTCTCTTTGCCAGTGAGATGTGGTTGGTGAGAGAGTTACAGTTATAAGCATGCATGGCATAATTTCAGCAAGGCGCAGCGCAGCCGACTTGGTTCTCGAACATTCGATGCTCTTCTTCTTCTCATATTCCTTCACCATGTCCCAATGCAAAAGAGAGATCGAATATTTCGGCTGATCTACTACAACCTGCAAAAATAAATAGCGAAAATGGGTGTGAGATGGGAAGGGTGTTGAGTGGTAGATATGTACATATGTATATATGTAAGTAGGATCAAAGTCCAGGTGCGTGAGAGAATGAGTGGTTGGTGGAGGGGAATGCTTTGTTACAGTTACATTTGTTCTAGAAAAATCCATGCTCTCCTGCTTATCTTCCTAATTGCTCTCTTTGCCAGCGAAAGATGGAGGGGTTGGGAAGAGAGTTACAGTTACAAGCATGCATTGTATAATTTCAGCATGGCGCAGCGCAGCCGACTTAGTTCTCGAACATTCGATGCTCTTCTTCTTCTCTTATTCCTTCACCATGTCCCAATGCAAAAGAGAGATCGAATATTTCGGCTTGTCTACTACAGCCTGCGAAAAAAAATAGCGAACGTGGGTGTGTGATGGAAAGGGGTTGAGTGGTAAATATGTACATACATATGTCTATATGTAAGCAGGGTCAAAGTCTTGTTGCGATCGAGATGAGTGGTTGGCGAAGGGGTTACAGCTTGGGTACAGTTACATTTGTTCTAGAACATTCTATGCTCTCCTGCTCGTCTTCCTAATTGCTCTATTTGCTATCGAGATGGAGTGATGGTGAGAGAGTTACAGTTACAAGCATGCATTGGTATATGCGTGTTTAGATGTTAAAAGAGCATGCACGAATTCGAGGGTATTGACATCTTCGACCCTAAAGCACTGCTTTCTATCATTTTTTGTGGGGAATATATTCATCCCCTCGTCCACACGTATTTTTTATGGTGATAATTTTGTCTGACCAAATACGGCACCACCTGTGTATGTGGGGGAATCCATTGAAATGTTTACGCTTCAATTGGCATTTGGTTTGACAAATAAAAAATTAATTGCCCATTAATGCATCGAATGCGCAAATGAATGGCGGAATAAAAAAATCGAATTCGCATTGAAATGAAATACAATAAATGAATAAACAATACACACGATGCTCGTACACTCAATATTCATAGTGAAAGGCTTATCTCGATTTCTCGTAATAATCAATAGAACTGTCGCCATAATCAAAGCTGTGTGTTAATTGCTTCATTCATTGTCAATATGTTATTAATTAATTAAATATTATTTCAAGCCTTGTTCCCGTTTCGCAATTTGTTTGAATCGATGTAAACGGCTATTTTCATTGATCAAAATCAATTAAACATTATTAAAGATGATGGGACCCAACGGGTGGTATACAGAGGGCATGACAGGATACTCGTAATATAATTGCGGCTCTTAATGGCGTGTTAATGGACAAGGTAATCAAAGTGGGGGTATAAAAGGAGTGAAAGTAATACGAATGGATTAACGAGAGATGAAAGGGATTTCGATTGAGTGGTTTTCTGAATTTGTACAAGATTTAATACAAAGGACAAATATAATAGGTCGAATTTGGAACATATAGAAACAAGTCTCACACAATGTATCGATGTACAGAAAATCTAGTTTTGATTTAAAAATCCCACCATTAAACATATTAGAAACCTTTTTATTCATCTTTTCGAACACCTAATACAAAATTCTCACATCATATGGCAGCTACTCGAAGCCCCATTCATTCTCTAACCAAAACTCAATTCCCACAAATTGAATTCCAAGTCCCAGAAAGCAAACAAAAACCCTACCGATGCCGATGCCGATGCCTGGCACATATCCCTGGGAAGTGTCCAAAGACAAGCAGAAGAGCTGCCAGGAATAGTAAAGCTCTGAATTTTATATGCTGACGTCTGATTATCGACACGCTACTCCTCCTGCTCCTGCTCCACCACTGCCTCGTCCACCCGATTTGGAGGCTGAGTCAGAGTCTGAGTAAAAAGTGCTGCTGCCATGTGGCGGTGGCATCCCAAGAATGGCGCCTGGCGAAGAAAGGAAATCCAAAGATGCCAAACATTTTGTATGGCTGGGCAAAGAAGAAGAAAGGCAAAAAGGATGAGGAGGTCCTACGTCCTGCGACCTGTGATTGTGTGTAGACCGAGCTGTGTATGGCCGTTTTGCTTGACAGTCATTTCCAATAACTTCATTTTTCCGTTGTTGAGCAGAGATTGTGTTGCAGATTGCAACCAAGGAGCCAGGTCCTGTCCTGTCCTGTACTGTACTGTCATGTGACTGCCACAACAGCAGAAACCAACAGAAACCACAAACAAGAAAAAGCATTGCATTGATAAGGCCAGAAATCAGGTCACAAATGTGAGTGGTGTATGAAAACTCGTACTCGTACATATTTTGCTTTTGTTTGCCACAAAAATTCCCCCATTTCTGTACAGTACTTCTGTGTGTGTGTGTGTGTATGTCCCTCTGTTCCTCTGTTCCTCCGTTCCTCTGTTTTGTATCTGGAAACTACTCAAACTGTCAAAAAAAGCTGGTACTGTAGAGTTTTTCTGTGTACCACCTCCTCTGAATGGGGTTTTCTAGTGGCTGCTTTTGATAGTGTAATTAAATGTGCTACAAATATGTTTTTAAAATTTATTTTATATTACTTTTAGAGTTGGGAAGGGAAATGGTACGGTTTTCTGTGGAATTTTGATTGTTTATTCTGCCTTATGCGCCCCATATCTGAATCATTTATCCTTCCAAAAACAAATCCATCTCCTGTCCAGACCGATGTGCCACACCTACTAATTGCATTCAACGCCCAAAAAAAAAAGACGTAATAAACTCATGACAAATGCACAAAAGTTTGCTAAAAAGGTGAATCCTCGCTGGCTTTTCCCCGTTTGTCATAATATTATTCTGGAACTGTCTTTCCCTCGAAAATCTCTTTCTGTATGATTTATACTAAATTCTATTTTGTTTCATGTTTGCATATCGCCCGCCAAAAATATTCTTCATTGACATGCATTTTGGCTTACACACAAAAGCTGGCTAGGATCCTGTTGTCCCCTGTCCTGCTCTCCTGCTCGTATGCTTCCTCCTCTTTGATCCCAAAAAGGCAAAACAATATTCTGACATTCAATTCGACATTTGCTTTGCAGGATGGTTCTGCATTTGCTCTTGACATACACTTTCAGTGGGTACTCTGGCACTCTGCTATCGGTGAAGGGAATTTCTTTAGAATAAAAAGTGTTAAGTATAATGAATAAATAAATAAGAGAGACAGAGACGATGGAGAAAGAGAAAGAGCTTGTTTATTAATCCTTTCAGTCTATCAAAATGTTTTAAATTCTAAAAATAGGCAATGGATTGAATGCCACTTTGAAGGGTATCCAAAGTTGCGGCTCCATGGAGCTATCATTTCCTTCTGTTGATGCAATTCTAAGCGTAGACGCCACCGGATGTTGCATGCCAATTTTTGTTGAAGTATGTATTTGTTTTGTTTGTGGGAATTGTACGAGTATGAGAGGAAATACTACGGAATCTATGGATACTACGGGGTCGTTCCATACATGTCGATGGATGGTGGGGGGGTGGTACCGCTTCCAGATAATTTATTTTGGCATCGCCATCGACGGTAGCTGCTGCTGTTTGTATTTATGGGATTTGCGTGTGAAATTTTCGGTTTGTTTTCTCGTTTTCAACAAAAGAAAACATGTAAAAGATATACGAAAGAGAGAAAAAACACGAATAAATAAATAAATATAACGTTTGCAGAAAGATTTTAAGGCGGAAAGGCTGTGTGTGCTCTCTGGCAAGGGTTTAAATTTTATAAATATTTTTTTTATTTCTTTTCTTGTATCTCTCTTTTCTGTGTGTGCTTTTCCTTTCAAGGTTACAATTTAGAAAAAATATCTGACTGGATTACAAAAATGTTCCACGTAATCGATGAGAGATTGTAAAATATGTGAGTTAAGGGGGAAAATCAGTCTCCAAATGGGTTAAGGAAGGTGCAAAAAAGGGTAGGGTTTGAGAGGGTTAAAGGTGGGAAACAAATGGAAGTAATTTTAAGGGAAAAGAATTTCAGTTTTAATTTAACTTTATTTCAAGAAAAGTTCTTTCGAGGGGGACCTACACTCGATTTATTTATAAATATTTCAACATATTTTTAGACACACGCCGGAAGGGTGCAGAAAGGAACCCCAAAGAAAGTCTCACCTCTTAAGGATCCATCTTCTCATTTCCTTGCAGCAAATTTCCCCCAATTTCCCCACTGCTTTTCCCTCGCTTTCCCATTCAATTGCAAATCACGCAACATTGTAAACATTTGTAAAAACAGCTTTATGGTGGTGGGAACGGACGAAGGTTGGGGAGGCGAAAAACTTTTTCGCAGAAAAAAAGAAAAGAAATAAAAGAATTTTTTTTCTTTCTTTTTGCCAGTTGAATGATGAGACATCAATCACGGAAGCAGCGTCACAAAAATACTTGCAACGCAAATGTCAAATTCCACTCCCCCATTGCCACGCCTTTTCTTAAAGTTTTGGTAGCATTTTTCCTCGCTTTTCTCCGTGTTTTCGTTTTGTTGTTGTTATTTTTAGTGTATGTTGGATCCCTGGCATTCTTCCATTTACCTGCAACATTTTTTAATGACATCAAATGTGTGTTGCTTGCTTGTTGTTGTACGTTTTGCGAGCATTAAGATTGATTAGTTTTTCCGCACTTGCGGGGGAAAGTTTTTCGCTGCTGTGAATGATGGAGTTTTTCTCTGTAATTTCCCGCCATCATTTACATAAATTTTCGTGTCTGCGTCGAGTGTCTGCAAAATAGTTGAATAATTTGTTTTTAATAACAAGAAAATAGTTGTTTCCTAAACGAGAACGTTTCATCATTCATCTTAAGAGATAATTGTTTGAACTCAAGAGGCAGTCGCAGTCACAACTTAATGACTTTCGAGTGCGAGAGCAACATTTGTTGCACGCTTCCTTCTGTGTCTCTCTCTGTCTGTCTGTTGGTTAAATGTGTTACAAGCAATTTTCCCCTCTAATTACCGCCAGGAAGATATTTAATAAACAGCAAAGTCCCAGTCCCAGTCTGTAGTCCCAAACAGTTGTTGTACTCACATTTGTGGCCCAGTTATTAAGTTGTGTTCTGTCTTCAAGTTGCCCATTAAGTAGGTCTCGTGTTTTTGGTTTGGGTTTCCCCTTTTTTTGGAGCACTTTCCTCCGGAAACTTGTGTGGGATACTATGTAATTATATTATAGGCAACATAAAGAACATAACATGCATAAATTTAGCAGCATATCTGAGAGTCCTGCCTGAATCTCTCTTCCAGTGTGGCTTAGTTTCTAAAAGCTCTAAAAAGTGTTACTGTGATTTAATGAATTGTATAATAATTTACGGAATTTTTTCAAATCCAATTAAATACGTTAAAACCCTAATAAATTTCCAATAATTTCCTATGATTTGTATAATTTTGCAAATATTTTGTACATCTATTGAGCCAATTATGTAGATTTTATAATTAACTCTAGTTATCTCCTATTATTATCTAATTTAGAGGCTTGGAAAATAATTGTTTTTATGAACTCCTCATTGAATTCGAATGCGAAAATGTAATTTTATTTTGCCAAAAAAGTCAAATGCTTTTACCACACACACCCACACACATCTCTCTGGCCCAGTTTTTCATTTAGTTGAGGAAATTCGGGTAAAGTTTTTCCCCACAAAAACACAGAGAGGGAAAACTCTCGCTGTCTCTCTCACTTTATGAGTGCGAGTGTGGCACTAACGAAATTAATTAATAAATCGAATCTAATGCTCGAACAAATTGAATCACATCGATTGCATTTACAAGTGTGCAACACGCCATGTGTGCAACACTTGGGGGCGAAAACATTATACACACAAAACATATACAGAAAATATGGGCAAACGTTTTCGAAACAGTAAAACGATGGGGAGGTACCTTTTAGTGAATTATTAGCTTTTAAAAAAAGTTTTACTATGAAAAGTTTAGATTTGAAATAATGTTCGAGGAAAAAAGGGTACAAGTATTTGAGGAGGGAGTTTTAACCCTGGGCAACCTTTTTTCGTAATTTATTTGGGATTTTTTCTTTACAATTTAGCAGATTTCAAAGAATTTTTGTTGCAACAATATAGAAAAGAACTATTTTGTAGTAAGTAAAATTAAATATTTACCCAACTACAATATACCCCTTGTAATCAATGAGAACTGCTCATAAAAAGGAAAGAAAATTCAAGGGGAAAACTCCGATGCTTTACGCTCAAATGAGTTACAACAAAACACCCGAGAAACAATGGAAACGCAAATACCCCGCGGAAGCAAAGAAAATTTATGTGTAGAGGGGATCTCCTATCCATCCGTTCCTTTAGTAAAATTAAAATTCGCGCGAAAACATTTTATGGTCATACATAAAAAAGAGAGAGAGAGAGAGAGACAGAGTGAAGAGAGCGAAGAAATAGGGAGCAGAAGCTGGAAAAGCTGGAAAATTGCAACTATGGAGCGCAGCTAATTTGCCCATCGCTTTGGCGTCAAATCAAAGAAACATTTTCGCTGTGAATTTTCTTGTGTGTTTTTATTGCCACATTTCGCCCCCCTCAACCCTTGGGAAAATCATTGCTCGGGGTACGTGACGGACGGTACGGTCTCTGATGGCATACGAAATCAATTTCCTTTCCCTAACCTATCCCGAAGCTAGTGTTTCTTTCGTTCCGCGATTCCCAAATCGATTTGAGTTTGGTTAACCTGCCAAAGTTTTTTTTTTTGTTTGTCGTGTTGAAAACTTTTTGCCACGATTGAAACAAACAAATTTTAACAGGATTATCGTAGGTGTCGTGGCAGGAGCAGAAGCAGGAGGCCCCGACAATTGTGTCCTCGACAGTCGCCAGAGGAGAAACTTTTTGGCGCTTCTGTTGTTTGGCTTCGTTTCCTGTGTTTCTGTTTGCCTGTGTCCCTTTACACGCTCAAATAAATCAAAAATATGTTTTATATATTGTTAGGGTAGGCTTTGAGGAGGGGGTGCTACGATTTTTGGGAGATGTTTGTGAGGCAGCCACTGAAAGAGTTGACTTGCGGTATGTATGTCTGTCTTTTCTCGTAGAATTATATATTTATTATAATTAATTTTATATATTAATTTTAATACTTAACGAATAAATAAATAAAATTTCCTGTGGGTTTTCCACAGAATAGATGTGTTTATAAGGGCATTAACAGCTTCGGCCATCGAAATCCCTGCATCTGCTATATTGTTTCATATTTCGACTTGTTTTATTTGTTGCGGGATTTTGGTTGGTTAGCCACTTGTGCGGCTTATTTGTTACCTAATCAAATTGAGAGCAGAATGAGAGATCCAAAGAGGAAGGGGAAGGCGAGTAAAAGTACACAGAAATATGTAGTAGCAAATAATATTACGCATACGCCAACGTTGGGTCTCTGTCTGTTGACCAAAACTCAT